CCACAATCACAGGCAGCAGATTCTTTTATGCCTATCCTGTACAAGTGTGCTCGAAGACCACGGTGTACTCAGAGAATGAAAGTGGAAGTATATATGCCCCTACGGGCGGATGAACATGTTTACATGAATGTAAGTGAGAAAATGATAACATTGAAAGGCAGGTATGAAAGAGAACGCAAGTCTAGGAAATGTCAAATAGGTATGTATCCATATGGTTATGCATGCATGGCTGTGTATAAAATTGAGTGCAAACATGTAATGTTGTGTGAGTGTATCGATGCTCGGGTGTATGTATGTATACACTTGATGGTGTACATCCATATACCCCGGGATTCACACTTATGATCATCTTATTTCACATCATGTATCTAACATAAACATGACTGGTGGGACTCACAATAGGATAAGACTGACAGCAAATAGAGAAGACAAAAAAAAAAATCGATAACGACAGGACCAGAACACATAACCACCAATTCCACGCCCCCCCCCCCCCATCTATGGTACGATGGTACAGACGGGTGAAGTGATGCATATTCCAGGGATCTGGAATTTACGTACACCGTAGCCTAGCTACCAACCCAAACCGACACAACTGGACCACACTATAACAAATGACGGATAGAATCCCTGTGAGGTTCCACCTAACAATTCACACACATCCCCGTGACATGATTAACCCGTTCTTATTGCACGAAGACAACTATAAGACCACCATGGTCACACGCGGAATATTTTCACAATTTGGGTCTATCCAAACCCAAAAACTGTTTTCAGTACTTTTCGGCAAAGCAAAATACTCAAAATTATAAAACTATAAATGATGGGCCAAAGGACGTTTGTTGAGAAGCTCCTACGAAATACGCCTGGCCAAATCAGAAGGAGCTGAAACCAAGGAGGAAGCAGCAAAAATGAGAGGGCAAGAAGAACACACTTTACAACAGGAAAATAAATAATGGCGCAAATAAACAAGACCACAAATATAGCCGAAGACTGCTGGCAGCTTCGGATAGCTAACAGCAGGTTGAACGTGGTTGAGTTTTTGATTTTTTTTTTCTTGAAAGGAATTGGAATATGATATGCTTGTTAGGGGGCAGGGTGTCTACCCCTTTCTCTCAAAATGGGGCACCGTAACCCACACGGGGTGGCAGACGAATTGAAAAGAAAAACAAAACAAAGAAACAAAATAAGGCCAGCGAGAGTTATCTGTTTTTATTTTCACAATTACCTCCCGTTGTCGGCTGTTAAACAATTTTTTAGACACACTCAAATACAGGAGCAGATCAACTGTTGCAAAGTTGTATGTTTTGTTCAATTTCTGATTTCATGACCGTATATGCTTACCCGTAAATTAGTGATGATTACATGTTAGAGTTGTTGTCTTTGTAAATTAAAATATTCACTTGGACTACCTAGTGTTACACTTGTACTTTGTAGTAAACAGTCGCAGATGTTGACCGTTACCGAATGACGAATCAGGACTGTAGGACAGCAACCCCGTCACCAAAGTAAACACTTTTTTTAAGTTACCACCGTTACAACAGAAGGTATTCTTTAAAAGTAAACGATTGGATACTAAACTTTGTTTAGTTGTGAGTGAAGACAGAGTTGTGTATATATTAGGATTTAAACTAGGGTCTCTTGATTAACACTAACCGTTAGGATATATTATATTTCTGTGAGATCATCATATTTCGACGTTTGTGTGGCTTAGGGGCTATGCTAACAGTTTCAGGCACTCCTTCGGAATACCGGTCCCAAATTATTCACTGCCGAAAACATCCCTTTGAGAGCCTCAAAAGGTTCATTAGTTTCCACTTTTGCCGTTAGGCGTTATTGCTGGATGGATAGATAGCTATGTTTAGACTCTAACCCTTTTAGCACGGGAAGTTTTTCAGAGGTCTAGCCAAAAACACGGAGCCTTTTTTCAGTGAATTTGGTTATTACTTTATTTAATTTTTTTGACAGATTTCTGTTATTCTGACCCCTATGAAATAATATATCTATTTGAAGGATATAGATTGAAGTTCGTGATTTTCACAATATCGTTAAAATTAATTGATGTATATGCAAATTATCTCATTTGCATATCTAAAAATAGAAAATTTGAATTTGAATTTTCAACTTCAATGCTTGAAACATAAAACTAAAAACAAATTTTTTTTTTTATTTGAAATCTTTTTATTGATCTTTGGCCTTTTTACAAATGTTGTAAGCAATTCAATAGTCAAAAACAGGTATATATATATGTGAAACAGCAATAATATCTTTAGGTGACATGTGTTTTTTACCATCAGTCAGCACTATAAATGGATGTGCCGGAGTGTCAACACCTTCGGGTGGATATACCCTGAGCCATGGTTGGGCTGTGGTCTGAACACAACAGCGTCCCCATCTGATTCCCACTATAACTACTAACACTAAATCCTGCATCAGTATCAACAGAATTAGTGTCAACACTTGATTCAAATGTTTTATCAACATCAAGTTTAGGGGCAGAAACATACGAGTCAGACATACTTTTAGCGGTTCAGGTCACTATCTAAAAAATTCAACAACAATTTTCACTTCGATACCAAACACTCGAAAGTCGCCATGTGTAAAGCTGATACCGCAGTTAATATAAATGAATCACTTTCAGTGTTTCAAAGTAGGAGATTTCTTAGCGGTTCGAGGCGAAACACGATAGGGCCGATCATCGGCCGTTCCGTGTTTTTGGCAAGACATCCGCCGGCCGATAATCGGCCCGTCCGTGCTAAGAGGGTTAAAATAAGCACCCTGGGAGGTAATAGATTTTGATCCATTGTTGAAGCAGCGTAGGGAGGAATTGTTCACATAACCCGTGACTCCTCTTGTGGGTTCCAGGGCCACATGTTTGAGGGAAAAAAAAAGTATAGACCCACTGCCACCTAAGAAGCATGTTGTAAAAGGCGACTAATTAGGACTTTGCTGAAATCAGATGTGTTAGGGCAAAAAGCGCAGATATATCGCAGCCTAGCTGTAAACCACAACACAACATACCAACCACTTTTTTAACGGCAAACAAAATTATCACCCGTCAGGTACTCTAACACCGGTCACCGGCGGGACAGGGGAAATACTTACAACTGTGCTACCGAAGATTCAAGGGTTTGGTTCAGATGATATTATATAATAACGTGAAGTATAGTTCGTAGTGTTCCTATTCCAGAATTTTAAAATTTACGACCACTTGAGGCCCTGAATGGGATTTTTAAAACAGTGGATAATTTAGGATCGGTATTCAGAAGAGTGCCCAGTTTCATAATATCCACAAACTTGAGTTTGATTTTGATGTGATTTGGCAGCAGACTGCTTTGCATTGATTAATTTCAACAGTGGTATGGGTATGAACCTTGGCCAGCGGAACTGCATAACATTGCCTGCCTAGTAACAATAATCCTACAGACAGCCAACAAATGCTAGGGTTGGTGTTGGCTGTCTATGGTTTCTGAAGTACTATAAGCAGCATTTAATATTCATATGATTAGTGATTTGTATGTGTAAAATAAGAGGAGCTGGTACTCACCTATGAGTGTCTAAAAAGGTGCAGGTACTGACCACACAGTGTTTATGTTTATTATAGTAGCACTGGAAAACGATGCCTAAGAAAGGTGCCGGTACTGTGTGCCATCAGAAAAAAAGCAGAAATCTGATATTTTGAATCATTGCATACAGCAGTGGTTCTCAAACTTTTCTCGCCCTGGCAGCCCTGATGGGCAAAACAAAAATTGTGCGGCACATCTACCCTTAAAGCAGTTTGGATACTTAGGAAAAGAAGAAAAAAGAACAGTGCACATTGAATGTTCATTTGTCTTTAATGTGATGAATGAAACTGTTTTGTGGCCCTTATTTAATTTTACCCTCAAATCACTTGACCCAGAAAGTTAACTCCTGTATCGGTTTTTTATATAAGCGTACATTGAGAATACACTGCACCCTAGGGCTTTGAATGCTGAAGAAGAAGTTGTAGGACATGGCCCACAGACAACTTATTGCAAACATAAAAAAGAAACAGTCATCATTTTTTGGGGTCATTTTATGAAAAGAAGGAAATTAACACATCTTGTCCAGTGGAAAGGTCTTTTGAAAGAGAGATAGAAGACAACATAAGAAGATACTTGCCTATCTTTTGTTATGGCCTAGAGGAATGTCAGCACATGAACAGATACATGCTACGTGGGAAAACACAAAGCAAGAGTGACAGAGAAAAATATATGTGGAAATCTTATACAACTGGTCATCAAATATTAACAAATAAGCAACATCAGCTTCATTATTATAATATGACAGACATAGGAGATTCACATATAGCTGAGCTAACTAATAATTTACCCAGGATAAAGAGCTGCACCAGGAAGACCAGGACTCAGACTTGTAGGGACCTTCAAACCCCCTCTACTGTCATCCTAGAAACTGTTTTTCAGCCAGTAACGTGGCTGATGTAGATAGGATTGACGTTTCTTGTAAAGTAGGAGTAGCTCTGCCTGATGCTATGGAGAGAGGAGGAACTTCATCCTTAGTTCAAATTGGTTTTGGAAAAAAATCGAGAGACGGCAGTTATGGGTTATAAGTCCTACACTCGCCATCGCCATGGGCTGTGAGTCCCATGCTTCCTCATAATGTAGTATAACACTATCGTCTGGAAAGATGGAAATGTGCTGTCAATCTCATGTCTCTTGTGTAACTCCTTCAGTCCCACCAACCTTTAATACTTTTAAGCAGAACTTCTTAGAACATAACAAGTAACAGTAACAACTGCCCTGGATTGAAAGAGTTACAATGAAACCTCAGTAACCCAAATTTCATGGGATTGAAAAAATAAAGATTTTGAATTTTAAAAAAATGTGTGCCAACGAAGGACTTATAATAATACATCTCTGCAATGAGCACAGTTTTGTTCATGTTAACTGAATGTTCTTTTTTTAAGAAAGTTATAACAAGGTTTTAGTTATATCATAACTTTTACCTTGATATTCTAGATCAATTCAAGCAGTGATGAGGCACAGAAGCAGGTAGAAGCTCATTTTACACGCTTGAAAAATGCCTTGATAGCATCGGTGGACAAGCGACTGGAGCAGCTGAAGACTGAGATTGAGAGCATCAGGGAGTCAGCTCTAAAACCTTTGGATGAGTGCAAGGCTCTAGTGGATGAAGGTCTGAAGTCGGCAGCCCATGTTATGGAAGAAGGTAGAATTTATCAATGAATCGTGTTTAAATTTGATTAACATAATGCCTAATTACCATAATCCGGTAATGTTTGTGTTATCCATGTAACAAAGACCGCTAACAGTAACTGTTATGTACAGATAGCAAAGGACAGAGGTTTGGTTTAAGCTGGTTGCAGTGTATGCTGAAAGACATAAATTAGTGTTCATTAACCCTTTTGCCCCTTGATGCTGTAAAAACATGTTAAGAACTTATAGGAATCCCCTTTAAAAAATCGTTAAAAACAGCGTTCATTTATCTACTTTTTTAAATGTATTATTAAAACAGATAAGAGATATATAAAAGGGATAATCAGTAAAGACAGACAGAGGGAAGCATTACATTAAACACATTCCCTGGGGCAGGGGGGCTTAAATAAACATCATTTTTCGGGTGACTCATTTTGTAATCCCATGACCTCTAACATTGAGGCTTACAGAAACAGTTTGACATCAGCTTGGCTTTGAATGAGCCATTCTTAAATGCCATTTTAAGTTACTGTATTCACATCCAGGCCTCTTAACCCTCTAGAGACGGAGCCTTTTTGAAGTTTCAGTGTCAACAAGATGAAGCCTTTAGGAGGGAATTCTCAGAGTTTATACACAAAAGATAAAAAAAAAATAAAGCATTTAATTAACATAAAGAAAGCTATAAATATTCATGTAGGAAATTGAATGAGCTAACAGAATATTTATGAATCAAACTGAAATCTCTACATTTATTTAAACTAACTATTCTGATTGCATAATTTGTGCAAGCATTTTTTAAAAACTTTGGAATAAACATGACTAAACTAAAAAAAATGTTGGTGGATGAAGCTTGAATAAGTCTTAACACTTGTGTTTTAGGAAATAAGGCCCTTCAGACACTTCTGCCACATGGTTCTACTCATTTTCCTGCCTCCAGCTATGTTTCGATTGCTGTGATGCAACATTCCTTTGCGCCATTGTTGGGCACAGCTAACCCCAGGAAAAAATTTATGTAAATTACCGAACATATCATACTTTCTCGAAAGCCGTCAGTGAAGAGCCCACATGTGCAAGAAATGCGAGAAGCAGTCTGACTGGCTGGTAAGAAAACTTACCAGCCAGTCTCAAGGCTTGTATTACATAAGGCCGACCGATCGCCCAGTCATTCTTTTGGCTATTTTGTGTTGGACGGAAATTTAGGCCGCATTGTCTCCAGAGGGTTAAACACTGCACAGGTGCACAAGGAATCAATGACATTTAATACCCTTTTGAGAATGGGTCACTGCAGAAATGACCGATCGCCCAGTCATTCTTTTGGCTATTTTGAGTTGGACGGAAATTTAGGCCGCATTGTCTCCAGAGGGTTAAACACTGCACAGGTGCACAAGGAATCAATGACATTTAATACCCTTTTTGAGAATGGGTCACTGCAGAAATGGCCATATAGTGGCATTTGCCGGGCTGTTACAACAGGAAGTAACTGGATTTAGCCTTCTCAGGGTGAATGAATTAAAAGTAGGTTGTTATTTCAGTGTTATACATGTGAGCTTACTGTCCATTTGTTAAGATGATGTGTAGTTTACCAATGGCTTTAATAATGTTAATTCATGCAGGGACCAGCATTCTCAGTAATGAACCAGAAAGCAATACTGAGAAAATTATCAAGTTCAAAGAAAATCCCAAGACTAAATCTCTATCAAGGTAAGGTAGTTCCTGTGTTATATTTCTACTTGTCGTGACCCAATTCATGATGTATATTATCATTGTACTTTTCTTAATGCGGGCGGGTCTTGCTAGTCACAGTAGCTATCGCCATGGGCTGTGAGCTTCATGCCTCCTCATAACACAATATAATACTATCATCTGGAAAGATGGAAAGGTGCCAACCAACCATATCATTGTCCATTAGTTCTTCTTCTTTTGCACTTACCTTTGAAAGGACCGTTGACATGTTATATTGTGGTTTACAGCTAGACTGTGATATCTAGAGATTTTGGCCAAACAATTTTAATTTGTTGCTATTTGCAACATGCTTGCTAAGGGCCAGTGTCTCTCTCTCTCTCTCTTTTCCCCCCTCTCCTCAAATAGGGCCTCATAATCTGCAGGGGAAGTTCATTACTTCATTGTTGGCTGCTTTTTTTAAGTTCTGAGAAATTGTTTTTGTTTGTTTTCTTTTCTGAAAATATTTACTACCTTCTTCTCTTTCCAAGGGTTTTGTCTTATCTTTTTTTCTTCCACTAATTTGTTTCAAAGTGTCAAACTATTCATCAGATTATCTGTTCGTGTGTTAAAAAATAGTTTGAAACTAAATTTGTAACTGTTGGACACTGTCATTGTTTTGAAAAATTTCACGTACAGCAAAATCTCAATTTTAGGCCTTTTTTTTGTGGGTACTATTTCAATTTTAGTCTTCTGTTAGATCCAGAATGTCGAATTATGTATCTTGATAATCATTCATCTACGTTGTCTGATCAAGTGTAAAATAAATGTTTACTACTACATGTTTTGTGTTTTGACACCAACATTTGTTGGGAGAAAAATTCATAGAAGAATCTAAGCCCCCCCCCCCCCCCCCCCACCTTTCAAATTGCCCCCTTTCAAATTGCTCTTATTAACAATCAAATTGCTCTTTTAAACAATCAAATTGCCTCCTTAACAATCAAGTTCCCCCCCCCCCCCCCCCCCCACTCCACGTTGCCATGGGCCTCATGTTGGGAAGTGTAAATAATACTGGACATCTGTGACTTGCAGCGTTCCAGCCATCCCAAGTCCAGCGGAGGTGGCCTGTGTGAATGTAGTTCTGAATCCTGACTTCCATGCTCAGCTAGAGGCTGTGATTTCCCTAGAAGGTAAAGTGCTAGCCAGGGCACCAGTCCAGATCACGGATATCATAGAGAAGCCCGGCAGCTTGCTTGTTCAGTGGTGTGAAGAGGTAGATATATACAGTTACAGTGGAAATACTCTTTGCCTATTCTATCATTTTTTTTTTAAATCTTTAGCTTCATCATTTGTGTTTTTTAAAATGTGCTGTCTCAGTGTGTCGTTTCATTTTTATACATCTCTCCGAGGTGTGATTCATCAAGTGGTTATCATTGGTGTGACAAGGTAAATATGCCATTACAGCTACATTTTTATGTGTGGAGGCCTACTTTCTCCTTCTTCTCCTCCTCCCCCTTTTTCTTCTTCTACTTCTTCTATTTTCTGTGTTTTGTAAGCTGAGGCTTATTGAGCATCTCCATAGCAAAGTGGTAAAGTCGTTTGCCTTACACTGTAAATGAAGGTTGTCGGTTGATTTCATGGACAATTATATTTGTCTGAGACATGATTCACCCAGTGACTGTGCTTGTCTGTATTTGTTGATGTTCCTGCTTTATTTACCAAACTTGGTGACAGCATAATTCCATTGTCGTCGGTAGCTGCTACGTGTTCACAGGTGCATGTTTCGCTTTTACCTCGTCTGTAATCCCATTTGATTGCCTGTTGTGGTTTAAACCCTTCTTTCTCTTCTCTCTGTTTATTAGTTATAAACTCCAGCAGAAAGTTCTACTTGTTATCAAATTCTAGACTTTAGTCTTGAGTTTTGCATCCATATCCGCTTATAGTTCTGTTTTATTCCTTTGCAGACTGTTGGTTCCTTGCATCTCAGGGCAGATGCACTCTGACTTTGAAGGAAACCCTGAAATAAAAAGGTTAAAGTCGAGAGGATCAGCTGCATTGAGCCAGATTTTATCCCACATGGCTTGGTCTTTCTCCGCTGTGTGTGTGCGTGCGCGCATGCGTGAATGTGAGTGTACATATGTGGATATGTGTATGTATGTATTATGTGGGTGCATTTGTGTGTGTGTGTATTATGTGGGTGCATATGTGTGTGTAAGTTAGTGAATGGGTTTGTGGGTGTGTGTGAGCACGCGCATGAGTGTAAGACAGGCCAGCATGCCCTTTGTGACCCTCTGAAAAAAAAAGTGCATTTATTCTGCAGGAATACACTCATTTCTGAGTATTTTTTAATTAAAATAATCTTAGCTTTGACCTTACTATTAAATTATTTTTAAGGTAAAACCACAGAAATAGCTGAAAGATGCCTCTCTGAAAACTGAATTTAAAGTTTCAGAAAAGAAAAAGGCCCGATGCGGCCAGACCAGGCATACAAAATATGCCAGGCGGTAAACCGTGCAATATAGTGTTCATATCCTTTATCTAAATTACCTCATTTTGTTTAATTCATATTCTAGACTGGTCGATATAAAAACAGACGTTTAATTGATGTTATGTTTTGTACAAATTGTCATATTTACGCATGTTTACAACTGGTGAACACAAAGAAAAAAGAAGAAGATTTTGATTTCTAATATGCAGAGGTTGGGAGTCGCTGTGGCGAAGTGGCTAGATGCTCGCGTGCGGATCGGAAGGTGGTGTGTTCACTGATGGAGCCGGGCTTTTTGCAATAATGACCTTGACCCCAAGGTCAACCCAGCCTTGAGTGGGTACTGGGTGCTGTCCAGAGAAGTAAAGGCATGACCACATCATCTATCTTGTGCACATTGGTCAAAAAAAAATATAGGTCTAGCCCTATATGCCATATACGCCTAAAGGCGTGGAAAAGGTACCTTTACTTTACTATATGCAGAGGTTGTTGGTATTAATACACATTTTTAATTCCATGGTTTCTGACATAACACAGATTGATGATGACAGTGAGATGTATGAGTTCTGGCTGCAGTATGCGATGGGAGGCTACAAGAACCTGAACGATTCCAATGCTGTCTTCCACACTGCTTACGTCGGCACTTCCAACAGTTACCTCGTGAAGCACCTGCGGACCAATACGGCGTACACTTTTCGTGTTTGTGGCAGAGGAGAGTCGGCGACACCATGGTCAGCCTGGGGCGTCCCAAAAGTAGCTTCTACATCAATTAGTCATTATCGTGAGTGGCCTGTTTCATGCTGTGCTTGTGTGGTTTTATTGTGAATGCAGTGTTTACCCAAATGTCATCATGATCTTGTGTAAGAGGTCCAGTTTTCATTGCAGTCAGTTGTCTTTGTTCATCCTCAAAAGGGTAGCTGTGATATTTGTTGTGCTTTTCATCAAGTATGTGGTATCAGCCTCAGCAATTCCTCTTTTATCATTATTCAGTGATTCCTCTTTTATCATTATTCAGTGATTCCTCTTTTATCATTATTCAGTGATTCCTCTTTTATCATTATTCAGTGATTCCTCTTTTATCATTACTCAGTGATTCCTTTTTTATCATTACTCAATGATTCCTCTTTTATCATTACTCAATGATTCCTCTTTTATCATTACTCAATGATTCCTCATCATGTTATCATTATTTAATGATTCATCATCATGTATCATTATTCAGTAATTCTGGTTGTTTGTCCACTCCTGCACTTTAGTCTTGTTCTAGAACTTAAATTTTGCATGCACAGCCATTTTACACATCTTACTTACTTGTATGCAAACTGTTGGTTCCTCATCTCTCAGGTGCACTTTAAACTGGAAGGAAAAATCCCCAGTTAGTCACCTTTTACGACATGCTTGCTAGGGAGGTAGTGGGTCTTTCCTCTTAGGCTTGATTCGCCAGGATGACACTTAGGTTACCTTGGCATAGCGTCAATAACATGTATGATGTATCTGTATACGAATTGTACACCTAATACCAGAAGGCTAACCTAGTCCTCAAATTCCTACAGAAGTAAGATTTATCGGCCAAAATGTGCAAATGTCACAGCCATCTTATAGACGGAAACAACACGTTTACTTCTTTGGATGAATGTAGAAGAAGCAAGTATATGTGTTGTTTGTAATGTATATCTATTGTATGTAATTTCTGTAATTTTTCACAGAATGGGAGACATCAGATAACAATGCATACACCTTGAGCAATGAAAACAAAACCGCCACCCGCACGTCAGAAGGTGTCACACATGTTCTGTACTCAAACAAGCCAAGTTTTCTGCCTGGCAACATGTTGACCATTAAAGTGCTGGATGATGCTGACAAGTCGCCAGGGGATGGCCTGTGTATTTCACTTGATAACAAAGCCAAAGAGGCTTTTGGCCAGGATGGCTTTGTCTACGTTAATCTCTATGGTAGGTTTCAGTAGGTGTGTTTGTGTTTATATGGTAGGTTCAAGTAGATTGTCTTTGTTAATCTCAATGATAGGTTGCAATAAATTTGTCTGTTTTAATCTGTATGGTAGGGTCTGGTAAATTTGTCTGTCTTAACCTGTATGATATGTTCTTGTAGATTTGTTAATGCTAATCTGTGTAGCAGATACTTATAGTTTTGTCTGTGTTAATCTATGTGGTAAGTTCTGCTACATTTGTCTGTTAAACTATGTGTAGATTCTAGTATATTTTTCTGTGATAATCTGTGCTGTAGATTCTGATATGTTGATCTGTGTTAATATAAATAGTAGGTTCTGAAACATTTGTCTGCAATGATCTGTGTACTGATAGATTTATCTACATTAATCTAATCGGTAGGTTCTGATAGATTTGTTTGTGTTAATCTTATTGGTAGGTTCTGATAGATTTTTGATACATTAATTTGTGTGGTAGTGTTAAACAGATTTGTCTATGCTAATTTGTGTGGTAGTGTTAAATAGATTTGTCTATGCTAATTTGTGTGGTAGTGTTAAATAGATTTGTCTATGCTAATCTGTGTGGTAAGTTCCAATTGTGTTGCTTATGTTAATCATTACCGCCTCTTCCCGTTTTGACTTACTGAACCCTTTTAAGAATCATTTTCTTTGGTGGAGCCCCTAAAGCCTACCATATTTTATGTTTTACAGTTTAATGGTGTTTGGAAGTAATGTTATGGAGCCAAGGAAGAGGGGATTGATAATAAGGGAATGTAAAGTAAAAAGCAATTGCAAATTTTTGTGTGTGCAATAAAATTGTATTTTATAAACTGAAAATGTCATTAATTTTGGAATTTGTAGCAGCAGATTCTGCTTTTATGTTTCTTAATTTTATTCTTATTTATTTTCCTGAAGCGACTGCTGAGCCTTTGAAGTGCATGCCGAGCTCTTAGGGCTATATCTTCTCCTTGTTCTTCTTTTTCTTCTTGGCGTTCACCAGCTGTAAACTTCAGCAGAAGATTTTGGCTGTTTGTCTTTTTCTCGACTTTAGTCTTGTTCAAGAACAAGAGTGTTGCGTGCACATCCATTTTACAGATCTGACTCACTTGTGGCGGGCAGACTCTGGCTTGTGGGCCAAACCTGGCCCACAGAGCAATTTTTCTGGGTCAGCGAGGCTGTTGTAAAATTACAACATTACAGCCCATGAGCTTACAGAATAGCAGAACACAAAAAAACATACATTTATATGCAGAAAGAAAAATTCAAATATCAACATTCAAAACGGGGAAAACCTAAACAATGATGACTGGAAACTAATGTTACTAGATCTCAGATCCTGCTAGGGAAACAGGTGGTGCAGACAAACTCAGACATTAGAAGACAGTATCTGTTGGCAGACATTCATAATAACATAAAGGTGACACCACTATTTTTCTGTTTTATAGATCAAAAGAGTGCAGTAATCTTTCTTGACATCAGTTTGTCTGGGAGAGAGGATCTTAGATTGTCACAAAAAATAGTCTTACAAAGAAATCTTGGTGTAATATATATAATTTTTTTTGTGTAGGTTTGGCAAAATATTATTTCATGGTCATAATAAAAGTTGGCATCTGTGGCTTAGGTGTTGCGAACACACTTCATAATGCTGAGGTACTAGGTTTGATCTCAGCTGCAGACAATTTGAATGCAGACTGTCTTGCTTTGTTCTCGACAGGGATATCAAGAGTTGACGCTTCAGAAAGCAGTGGCAAACTACTGAATGTAAATTGGCCTAGAAAAACCCACAACAGCCAAATCAAAATGCTGGAGTTGGTTCTGCAGTGTCCCTTGAAGGTTACGCAACTAAACTTTTGTTTTGTTTTCCTTTTACAGGCAATGTATACGTAGATGGCCAGGAGATGACGATGCAGCTTCCAGAGATTAAAAAGGGCTCCATAGTTGCCTTCCAGGCAGAGTCGCTGCCTAACGGCAAAGTCAGAATCAGCATTCAAACAGAAGAGAAGGAAGTGACCTTTGATTGGAAAGTGGATGCACTTGGTGGAGGGGACAGCGTTGACAATGGCAGTGTGCTGAGCACGGGCAGGAATTGTGCAAAGGGACAAGCAGAGTTCTATTTTGGCATCAAATTCAGCCAGGAGGACTGGAAAATTGCAGTAGACTAATTGTTTCTTTTTGTTTGGTGATATGTGTTTTGATTGGTTGTAGATTTATTATTACCGAGCATACATTTGCATCTCATAAAATGTGAACTAAATATTAAGGTTAATACCTGTACCAAAATATAGAAATAGTTGGGAATGGGTCAGTTAGCTTCAATATAAGGTTTCAGTGTGCTTTTAGAAAAACCACTTTTACCGATTTTACGGTAAATTTTTATTTTAATGTAACTATATTTACAGTGAATGCCTGATAAAAATGTTTAACATTAAATGGGATGAATTCAAGAGGGGTAGAGACATAAGAGATAAATCTAAGCAACCACTGGCAACAACAGGTATAAGACAAAGAAGAAGGTGCTGTAGCGGACACATTTTGAGAACAAGCTAGCAGAGAATCGCCAAGCAGGCTTAAAAATGGGAAATAAGAGGGATGAGGAAGCAAGGACGTCCAAAAAGACACCCTCAAACAAAAGTTCTGAGAAGCCAAGGGTGCGGGATTGAATTCCAACCAGGATGTAAAAAAAGGTTGCACAGGATAGAAGGGGACGAAGGAATAATTGCATAACTGGACAATGAATGAATGAATATTTTACCATACATTGTAATACATGTAGTAATATGAAATCTGGTCTTTGCCAGTAGTACCTGCAGTCAGAAATGTAAGCAGGCTTGGCTGCTGGGCTAAAAGCATTACTTTGTTTACTGAACTGATTTTTTTAATACCTCTTGGCAGTTTTGCTGAGCACACTATCAACTAAAAAAAAATAGAGTTGTTGACAGAAATAAAAGGAGAAAAGTGGGATGTTTTTAAAGACCATACTAGAGGAAAAAGTGGAAGGCAAGTGAACAAGAGGCAGGCAGCAATATATGTGGGAGGATAACATCAAGAGATGGGTGATCAGCAGTTTCAGTGTACATCCAGGGCAGAAGGTAGAGCATATTAGAGATCTACTGCAGCCAGTCTTCACTGTGGGGACTGCATTTGATTGATTGCTTGATCACCTGAGAGCACTCCTTATCTCTCATAGAGTTAATTAAGCTTGAATGCTGGAAACACTTAGCTCCATGAGAGTTAAACAGGGACATTATGGGACAGAAGGCTTTCGACCAATAATCTTCTTTTTTGCATTCACTAGCTGTAAACTCGCTGGAAAGTTTTGGCTGTTCGTCTACCTCCGTCCTTAGTCTTATTCCAGAACCTGAGTTGCTTGCACATTCATTTCACAGGTCTGGCTTATTTGTATGCAGACTCTTGGTTCCTTGCCTCCCAGGCAGATGTACTCTGACTTCGAAGGATATCTCCAGTTAGTCTCATATGACATGCTAGGAAACGCAGTGGGTCTATTCTTATTTTCTGCACAGTGGGGCCCTGGAACACCCATGGGGGGAGAAGGGTTAATGTAACCTCCTTCTGTGGTAAAACACAAGAAGAAAACACTGTGTTTTTTTAAATGATGGATTCACTTTCATTTATGTACATTGTCTTCAATATATGTTACATATTAATAATATACATGCAAGAGTGAGAAGAAGATCTAAAGTTTACAAACTTACAATAGAGGTTGTTCAATGTGGCCACTGTCTGCTGCTCTGCAAACATCTAAGTGGTAGTTGAACTCACTCCACACGGGAAGAATCATCTCTTGCAGCATAACTGAGCCCACTGCAGCTGGGATATGGTTCGGCAAGTTACGCATCTGCTCTCTATTGGCAGTATTCAAATCTTTAGACCCTCCCATCTCTTTTATTTGTATATTTTTCATATTCAACATAAATTCAAGGAAATATACAGGAATAATAGTATATCCTTCATTTTCAATAACCCCGCATTATTTTTTGAATGACCAAGAAACTTATTATGAGTTGTTTGGTGCTGAAAGAGTTAAGCCTATTGTGCTGTTTGTGATCCATGATGAAGTAGATGCATCACAGACATTGATCACTGAAGAAGAAGAGAAAAGCTTTGGCTGGCATTTATGAAAAAATCTTTATTTATATATATAACCCCCGTGTGGGTTCCGGGGCCCTATTGTGGGGAAAACAAGAATAGACCCACTGCCTCCCCAAAAGCATGTCGTAAGAGTCGACTAACTGGGGAGCTTCCTTTGAAGTCGGAGTGCATCTGCCTGAGAGGCAAGGAACCAGCAGTCTGCATTCAATTGAATCAGATCTGTAAAACTGATGCACATGCAACACTCAGGTTCTGGAGCATGACTGCAGTTCAGTAGTGGACGAACAACCAGAACTTTACGCCAGAGTGTACAGCTGGTGAACACGAAGAAGAAGAAGATATATATATATATACATATTCTTCTCCTTCTGCAATCACCCTCAGATGCATGGTTGGCACATTGTGTTGTCGTTTATATCCAGGCTGGACAAGAAAATGATAGGTACAATTTTCAATGTCTAATTTGTAGGAAAAATAAAATCAGCTGACGCATACTCGCAGTGACTTGGCAAAGTAAATTATTCCTTTAAAAAAAAAAAAAACTAGGCTGGATAATCTCTTGCAGGATAAAGGTTCTACTATGTGAGTGTAGGCCTTGAAGCCATCCTATCTTCTGCAGCTGCCTCTGTGACTTTATCAGCTGCCTCTGTGACTTTACCAGCTGCAACTGTGACTTTACCAGCTGCAACTGTGACTTTACCAGCTGCCTCTGTGACTTTACCAGCTGCCTCTGTGACTTTACCAGCTGCCTCTGTGACTTTACCAGCTGCCTCTGTGACTTTACCTGCTGCCTCTGTGATTTTACCTGCTGCCTCTGATTTTACCTGCTGCCTCTGTGACTTTACCTGCTGCCTCTGAGACTTTACCAGCTGCCTCTGTGACTTTACCAGCTATCTCTGTGACTTTACCAGCTGCCTCTGTTACCTGCTGCCTCTGTGATTTTACCTGCTGCCTCTGATTTTACCTGCTGCCTCTGTGACTTTACCTGCTGCCTCTGAGACTTTACCTGGTGCCTCTGTGACTTTACCAGCTGCCTCTGTGACTTTACCAGCTATCTCTGTGACTTTACCAGCTGCCTCTGTGACTTTATCAGCTGCCTCTGTGACTTTACCATAGTATTCATGAGTGTGCAAGTTTGATCAAGTTTAATTTCAGGGTGTATTTTTGCAGCTTCACATTCCCGATTTTACATCACTTTTATGCATTTCAATTCAGTTTTCTGCTGCACGCATCCTTCATACTTACTTTCAAACTATTCCCTGCACATTTTAATGATCGCATGTCAAAATCTTCTTTTTCTCATTCGCGTTTGCTGTATTTTCAATGTAGCTGCAGGCAGGTAGCTTAACACTCATTTTGACAAAGATTCATACTTAAAATATTTAGCTCTTATGTCAGATCAGTACTACTGTATGAAGCATGGGGAACAGCTAAAACAGTTACTAATAAACTACAAACCTTCATTAACTGTTGCCTGCACAGAATAGAAGGAATTTAATGGTAGGGTAGAGTCATTAATGTTGTGCTTTGGGAGAGAACTAAACAAATTCCAGTGAATCAAGAGGTGAGGAAAAGATGCTGGCTTGGTGGATTGGATAGGGCAGACGTTGAGAAAACTTGAGAACAATAAATATAACTAAAAAGACTTTAAACTGGAACCCACATAGAAATAAAAGTAGACCCAAAAAAACCCACATGGTAAAGAGAACTAGAGAGTGAAGTTAAAAAGATGGAAAGGACATCAGGTGAACTGCTTGTTATAGCGTGAGTTGGTTGAGGGCCTATTTTACATTGGGGGATAAAGAGCAGAAGAAGAAGAAGAGAAAAATGCGGCAGGCAGTTTGGCATTAGGTAGCTTTCTGATTTTGATGACAATGATTTGAGCGTTGAACTATTCAGAAGGTGGTAGGAAACTATTGAGCGTAAAATTGCCTGATGAAACCACAGACAGCAAGTGCTGATGTTCGTTTGGATAAAGGATGTGCAACTAAGTATCATTTGAAGTGTAATTTTGCTGTGTTCCTTGTTTGTTAACCTATATAGTTGAGGTAATCAAACTGTTCATGTTGGTGACACACTTTTTAGACAGACACACTTTAACAACACAGTAAACCACTCTAGAGCTAATTGTAGGTTAAATTAACCCTTTATAACTCTTTCACTCCCACAAAGTAATTCTTTAGCTAATGTCAGAGGGGGTTGAGAAGAACTATACTAAACTCTTGGGTATACTACTCCCAGAGGTGCCAGATATACAACCCATGCAAGAAACATATGTTTTCAGAGTTCTTCACAGTCCCTCACTAAACATAGTTAAAGGTTAAAGTTGAGACGATTGACTTCATTGCACCGGATTTTATCCCATATCTCCACAGAACAGCTAGCCGCCTGCGAAGAACATCACACAGAGCATAAACTCCGTAGCTTTAGTGACGATCCTGAGGGATCTCCATAAAAATTGCACTTAACGACGCAGCCTTGAAGCGTACACACAACCTTCAGAGCGCGAGGCAAACGGCTTGACCACTTTGCCATGGAGACCCCCCCCCCCCCCCCCACATCACTAAATATAAGACATACATAACATGTTGACTGGTATGCATGATAATACCCAGTCGGTCATACTGCATTGTCTGGGACATAAATTATGTTCGCCATCACATTGCAACTGATACACTAATATGTCGTGACATACAATTTGGAAGGCTCTGCTGTAGTCTCATGTATTAGCTAGTCTGTGCATTAACATATTTTGACTTACATTCTACTTATTTCAGCATTCATTGGACTAGTGCTTTCTATTACAGCATTTAGAATTTCAGTTTCTCATTGTTTGAATGCGAACTGCAATTTGAAATTCTTATTTCTTTTGTATCTATGCATTCCAGCCAGTTCTATCTTCTTTACAGTTCATTGTTGCTGAAGCTTTTGCTACTCCTAAAATTATGTTAATAATTGTGGCTATAGATTTATGTGACCTCATACTCTACCAGTACCTCAGATTCTAGAATATATGACATGTGTATGAGTTTATTTATGATTGCTGTGCTAT